AAAGTCGGGTGGCGGTAGCGGGGCTCGAACCTCGAACCATAGGGTCCAAAGCACGCCGGTGACAGCGAGTAAACCACTGCGCAAACACCACACCATCACAGGCTCATATGTCCATATTGATAAGTAATTAGAATACGGGCGTATTTTATGTGAATTGGTACTGTTGTGCCAAACCTCGTAGGTTGTAATGAAAAATTTTATATTAGTATTAGTATTATTGTTTTATGTTATCGGCAACCGGGCAGAACTTCGCTTGACGAATGTATTGAAATGGTTCGAACAAATCCCTTGAGTGCCATTCGGATCTGTCCACTCTGATTTATGTATCTGAGGCTATTTTCAGAAGCTCCTTCGACGCAGCTTGTCTATCAAGTAGTCAACCGGTTATGTCACCAATTTGTGACCTGTGAGTCCGGTATTCGAACAGCTCCACCGTCGTCCGACAGCCTTTGTATGACCGCGGCCCTCTTTCCCGAGTATTGACCGTGCATTTATATATTGAATGAATAAAAGAGGAAGTAAAATAAAACATTTATATTTATTATCAGTCACTAACCGGGTCAGTTGTCTGCTTCCCAATGTGTCTTGTCAACTTGTCCGCTCAGAACTGTGTGTTGATGATGACAGTTGTCACTATTTGAAAAGCCCGCACTAACTAGCCGTGCCAGAATGGTACTCGAGATATGTGTGTGTCGGGGGTTGGGAGATGTAGCTGAAATCCAAAGCAACGTTCCGGATGATGATGATTTATACCATTCGTGCTCGATGGATGTGAGACGTCGAGAAAGCTTAGTTATTTTGTGGCTAATATAATGCGAGAGATGATTGTATGAATCGGTACAGCTTTTAACACACGTGCCTACGCACACACACACACACACACACACACACACACATACAAAGACAGAGGAATCATCCATCCGGCTAGTCTGATCGTATCCCCCAACGGAAACCGAAGTGATCAATCAGGTCGAGAGAGCAGCAGTGATGAATGGTACAGTCTCATGCACGACGTTCTGATATGTTTTCGGCCTGATCGGTTGACCACGTAAACAATTGTTGTAGTTCATGATGTTGCACATATTTAGGCCACATAGGTGTGTATGTCTATCCTGGGTTCAAACAAACTAACCACCACCACCACAATAATAATAATTACAAAAACAACAACAACAACCAAGGAGTTCGAACACACGGCACTGATTTTCGATGCTCTTTAACTATGATCAGTCCACTCACCCACCCCCTCCTGTCGTTCAACCGCCTCCAATTATTGCACTGAATAGACATCTCCGAGGCGGTGCAACTGGTCCAGGACAGCTGGAAACCGTATGGGGTCGTTTTGCGGAGCTTATGTACTTATCTAACAAAACCGGTCCATTTTCAAAACAATATAAGCATTCTCAAGGTGTGAAGGAACACAAAATGTTTAGGATTACCATAATGATGATTATGTTCAGATTGAATCTCCCGAGTTGCAGATCCCCGATGCTCTCTGATGATAAGTTTGCTAACTCGTGAATATTTCTTTCTGGTAAACAAGGAACAGCGCTTGCACAAATTGTTTTTGGGCACACAGACGGGTATTGTGCAGATGAATGCCCACCGCCTCTGTTGTGGTCAGCATCCGACAGTAAACCTGCCTCGAGAATCGACCACGAACTTTATACAGTGGCCGGAAAGCCTCGAACACGACGTCCACAGTGTGATTTGTTTTAGCTAGGTGTGAAACCACTGCACTGGTGAGTGACTTAATCGTTCCGGTGCAAACAGTAAAGCTTGTCTGGCCCACCACACATACACAAATACCGTATCACGAGTAAACTCGATGATTGGATATACGGGCGGGGGGGGGTGTGTGGAGGAGGAGGAAGAGGGGTAGAGCGAGAACGCACGCGTTTAAGGGCACGGAGTGAATAGACGGGACTCGGAGATCTCGAAACATCAATGGGCTGAATACGATACGGATAGTCACGTGTCCATGAGCATTCGTATGCCAGACTGTCGACTGTGCTAGTCAGAAAGTCACCAATTCTATGAGAGGAAATTCCGAATACCCTAAATTTGACGCTAATTATGCAGTTTTACATTGAAGTATTCTTTGGATTAAAGAACAAACCAATGAATGACGTAAGGTAGACACACACACACACACCGAGACAATTTTCCAGTCAGACTAAAGTTTCCGTATTTTTTTAAAAAAAAGTAGCAACCCTAATAATGAGAGATTATAAAATTATGGCTGAATTTTACACGATTGCATGTTACAATTTGTTGAGCATCTGCTTACATTTTTTCCGAGTAGACAAACTATGTTCTGCATTTATCAACAGCCAATCAGGTGAAGAGAACGATGCTGTTTCTCTTTTTTTGCGTTCATTGGTTTGGCAATCAGTCATCTGGCAGGCAGGAGGCCACGATACAGGAAATACAACAAACTGTGAAGTACAATGGCCTATTTCAGGGTATGATTTAAGCCAACTACGATATGATGAGAGAACACTTGGTACACCACGTGATCATAGCTGTCCCATAGAATTGGTCCGCGATTACAGGAGGAATCGTGTACTTTTATAAAAATTATTCAATTTTTATACTTGATTGTGTCAGACCAAACGCGAGTCTCTGTGGCTTCCAGTTAGTTGTTCATACTACTTATTTACTTCACCTGGGTTGTTAGTAAGATAGATACATGCAGGTATAACTGTGTTCGGAGGGCCAGAGGGAGGGGGCGAAAATCAAATGAAGAAATTAAACTGTTTTTTTTTCTCGGTAGAATTAAAGGTCAATAAAACAGAAATATATTGTGAACAAATTAAGTTTCGTGTAAAATCGTAACTTACAAAATGCGTCAAAACACAGAACATTTCAAAATTTCAAGTGCTATACTGTTCCAAAATTTTATACCAACATATTGTTTATTTGAGTGACGACTTCTGGTTTCTGCAATTGTTGTACTGTTATGTTGTTCACATTGATGAGGACGTCTGTGAGCAATTCCGCTGGTGCATGAGTTGGCTAGCAGTGATGCGGATAAGCAAATGCTTGAAATCAGAAGATCGGCAAGAACGTTATTTTTTCTGTATCTGTCTATACATATGATAGCCATGCAACCACACCTGTCGAATCGAGTACGCTTATGCACACACAGACACAATGTAACCATACAGTCACCTTTACAAAATAACTTACCTTTTATTTACTAGATTATTGCCGATTCGAGTGGTTCGCTTCCCGGTGGTGGTGGTGGTGGTGGTTGTAGTGTTCGTAGTGGTGGTGCTTGTGGTGCTTGTGGTTAGACTCCCGGTTCCACTAGCCAATGTATCGCTGCCGTCTATGTTCCCAGCTCGAATTGGTACCAAAGCGCCGCTAGTATGTGTGGATGCTCCATCTGGGACGGGAGAGCCACTCCCCGTCGCGAGGGCATTCGGGTCGACCTGGTTGAGAATATCCTCATGAAACTGACCGGGATCAAATTTCACTGACTTTTCTGTATCTTGAATGGCTCTAAATCGGACGGAACGAGGCAGATAATGGTTGTTTTATGCAAGAATGCTGTTTTTCTGAACCATGGTAAACATAAACATACCGAGGGAAATGTAGTGTGGCTTACTCATTTCGGCCTGGACACATTATTCATTACGACCAATAGGTTACTGTTTAAATGTATAATACAAACTGTGGTTTGGTTGACTGTTGGTCACATCGAACAAAGTACGATTTCCACTTTCACCCGCTCCTCCATCATCTCCTCTGCTCATCACTGTATTAATCCTTACTTGCACACTCATAGTCTTTGATCATGATATATGAGAAAAGTAATGTTAAACAATCCAATCGAGCGCGCGACTGTTGACCATTTTATCGAGTCCGAACGCGGACGTAATCCAGAAAGGAATCGACTCCAAACACCAGACTTATCAAATCCGGAGTGTTATTCCATTCTGACCGGTCACACACCAAGGCGAGAGACGATGAGCCAGCTACCAGCACGAACATGGAGCATATCAGCAGTCCGTGCGCGCGGTTTCAAAGTGCGTCTGTGTGTGTGTGCCGGAGTGGGAGTGGGGTGGGTTACAATTACGTAACGAAAGCATGAAGTGAGCTCGGACACCGGAACACACAGAGATAACATCACCCAGTGACGGTCCATTCAATGTAACCAAAGTAACCAATGAGAGTGAAATATCTGTAGACTTCATGACCACCTGTCACCAGGAGGCACTAGCATTCATTTCGGTGAAATACACGAGCATAAAGTGCCAGGGGATTTGGCTGGCGAAGTGTGGTGCGAAATCAGAATCCACGTGCGAAATGTCCCACGGAACGCGCGTGAGACAAACACAAACCGGAGGATCATTTCCCATCTGTATGTGTGTTTTGAATACCCTAAATGTCAAGAGTTGTGCTTTTTTTTTAACAAACCACGGGTTTTGTTGATTCAACGCGACTCAAACTGAAGTCATCGCATGAGTGAATGAGTGTTTTGGAACAGAGTGCGAAATCCCAATCTCACCAGCTGACTCTCTCGTCGTAGTTGAGACTGAAAGACAACGTAATGGTCTAAACTCGAATGTGAAACCTTGCACTTTCATTGGATTACTCCCATTCGGTATGTTTATTTTTGTTCAAACTATATTGGTTTCCATGGCAATATCTTTTACTTTGGTGCTTGCAATTTCATTGATACATCTCCCGTATAGACCTTAATTACAATCAATAATACCGGGAGAAAGCAGGAACATGTCGTGAGGAGGGACAAGTTGCTCCAAGTTTATAGCATCTATCCAATCAATATAGTTGATTAAGGCCTTTGGATCATGTGATTCGTGCATTATGGAGATGTTAGGCTGCTTGTACTTTACGATCAACTAAGGGGTACTCTACCGGGCGCATCTGTAGGTCACGATTGATAGGATGAGCACTTAGTTGGTTAACCGGGATTAGGTGATCATTGCTTTAACGGACAATTAGCGATACCCATTCAAATTGTTGTTTGGCAAATTTGAAGTTTGTATAGCGAGTGTGAAAAGTTCAGTATCCTCGGTGGGATTCGAACCCACCCATCGTAGCTCAGATGGTAGGGTGTGCGCGTACAAAGCTTAGGCGGCGTCCATGCGTGGGTTCGAATTCCACCGAGGCTACTGATTATTTTCACAATCGCCATATAAATTAGCGATAATGACTGAGAATCTGGTCAGGTTACATCGGGAATATGTACCTTCTGTAACAGTAAGTTCTTCACTAAACACCATCGTCGGTTTTGCTCTGTTGCTCCACATGTAGTAGTTGGTTACGCAACGGGTTAGGGGTATAACTTCAAAGCAAACAGCCGCACTGGACTGGAGATGCCACCTTGTACAAGCAATTGATTCACTAAGCCGGAAACACATCGTGGAGGAGAAATTTCACCTTTTGTTCATTGGCAGCTGTACCCGATTAAACTGTCTCAACTGGTAATGAGTGACCACAACGCACAGGACCATTCACACCCACACACTCTCAGGACTGGCTTGTGCATCTGGCGAGTAAAAAACACCTCGTTTTTTGTCCATTCCCTGCTCGTGAAGAAGAACCAATCACAGTTGATAGTCATTGCAAGATGGACTTAAGAGATAGTGACAAGCGCATTTGGTCTGGCTGAACGCGTCCAGTATGAGTTTTCGGAGGAGACATGCGAAGAATTCAAGAGTCTCAGCCAATCAAAACGAAAACTGGCCGCTTCCACCGTGAGCGAATGCACATAGCGGTTCTTCGTCAACCCGAATCGATTCCCAGTAGAACAACAGGGTTCACTCAGCCCGAACCAGATACCTACACATGTTCAGCTGTCCAAACTTGAAAGGTACATTCTTGATAAATTATCGTTTATCCCCAGCATAGTCATGATGGTCTAAACAAAGAAGCCAGATTATTTCGTTTCAATCACAATGTTTCGATCGTTTCCGGGGGAACAAGTTAAAAGGAAAGTGATTTTTGTTACAACAAACTATGAGCTGCATTTTGATAACCGACAACCTCAACTTGATCTGACCGCTTTCCACTACCACAATCTATAGACCATGATGGCTAGATGACTGTAAAACTGTCATCTCTTTCATAGACTAAGATCACATCCACACACACACACACACCCGAAAGCAAGCGAAAGATGAATGTTTTCACCGGACTTGTGATAATCATCTGTCATACATTTGTGCATGTGTTGACACTCGCGTATATTTGTATCAACTAAAACGGCATTTATCCCCTGGGT